CAACCAACGTGATCTCAGTGAATTTGCAATTAATTCGAAATTGCCGTCATCATCGCACCGTAAAGGCGTACGGACGCGCGTCGTTTACACCATGCATACATATCGGAACGCTCGCGACGAGATACGGCCTGTTCCGATGCGGACGCGTACGATCGCCTGTGATGAATGAGCCGCAGCTCGGATTTCATTAATTAACGGAAGTGGCCGGAATTCGATGGTACGTGGACGCGTCATTCGACAAAGCGAACGTCCGCCGAGTACATCGCAAATTGGTATTTAGTAGTTAAGGGATATGTTCCCAGGCGAATATTGAATTGATCTGATTCTCACGAGAATTTGAGCTAAAGCTTAATGCAACATTATTCCACATTAGAAATCAAAAGCTCAAAATAGCGTCAATATTTAGTTTTGATAGTCATAACATTAATATCCGGATCAAAGTTGGGGAAACAATTTTCCATTAAACTACATTTTTCAATAAAATTCATCTGTAAATTTTTGTTTAATTAGTAGCCATTTAGATGCCTAATTTTTAAGATTTATTTAAATGTTTATTAAATTAAACTACGTTGAAGATTTTTTAAATATTATGTAAAACAAATCATTAATAGTAATTCATTTATGAAGATACAGCTTTTGCAATAATTTTTTTGACAAACGCAAAACTACATCTTATAATAAATGTTGCATTTCAATTGTATAAAAGTGCCATTCGCATGGGATAGACAGAACATGTGCGCGTCTAATTGAAGAGAGGTCCCTGACAGATCATCAGACACGTCAACTGTGATAAAACAAGGGCGACAGATCGTGCCCTCCGTGCGTAAGGGAGCGGCGCCGGACTCGATGTGGGTTGCAGTAATATCCTTTTTTCTTACGGAGAGTACGCCCCATCGAGTTCCCATCGGTCCCGAGAGACCGACGGTATTACAAGTAATTGTCGCCCTGGGGAGATCGCAGACGACCCTGTATCCACCCCAGTTCCCAACCCGATCTCGGGGATGGAACGACGATGCGGGAGGAAGGAAGCAAGGCGAAGGAAAAATGAGTGAAGAAACAAGAGAAAGAAAAAAATATGATACCTACTTAGAAAAGCAGAAACAGGAGATGGAAAATATGAACGAAATAAGAATGTGCAAAAGAAAGTAACATAAGATATATGAAAAAAAAGATTAGCTTCGTGAAGAAGAAAGGGAAGAGAAAGAAAGAATCGAGAGCAGAATAGAACAGTATCGTGTATCACCAGACTGCGACACCCTTCCACATTTTCCACGACCCTATCGCCATACCCCGGTCCCAACTCGAGGGATAAAAAAAGTAGCGCGAAACTTTCGCCTAACAAGTGGATGATTCACAAATCATCCCCGATTCGGGATGACGCCATCCCTCGCCGATGAGAAACTTCGTTTCAGTCTATATCCTTGCGCAGAACAACCAATAACTCTCGTTTCGCTGCAGGCGACGAGTCAAGAACAGAAGAAAAGATGGAAGGACGACGGGGAAGAAATAAATGCATAATACTCCGATTCATCGTACGAATCGAGAACCTAATCGAGGGTGCTATCGCTCGAATGCGTTGCTTCCGCCTCTGTGTTACTTTGCGATCTCTTTTTGCTTTTCTCCAGGTCCTCACTTCGCTCCATTTTTCACTGCTGCGGTGACGTTTTCCGAGGGCAATCTTACCGATGAAACATGTTAAAAGTGAAAAATAGCGTTTCCTTCCTGTTCGTGCCGTCAACAACGAGCTCGTCGACGCGATTCCAACATTTCGCGACCGGAATACCAGTGGAATTATGCACGAGCGGAGAGTGCCATCGCGATATGCGATCAATTTGTTCATAGGGAACTACTCGATAGATGAAACCGTCGGATAGAGCGAGTAACAAAGTGTCGTGACTCATCGATCGAACTCGGCGGTCCAGATGACCGGCGATCCGGATTAGTTGGAACGTACATCGCGATATCGTACGAGAGATCTTCTCATCCGATCACAGAATGTAGATATGCGAAAACTGAGTGGTATTCCGGTGAGTCAGAATCACGACGAATATGTAGCATTCCCCTGATAGAGGAAAAGAAGTTTTTGTTCCGAGGATAGACCGATAAAACCGGATAACACTATGTTTAATCGAGTCGCTACTGAACGCGCCATGAGGCATCATATCTCAACGTGCATAAATGTGTTTGGACGAAATTTGCTACGCTTTTAGCAAGCGACAAGAAATTTTTGACATATATCAGAGTTTCGCGAATGCATTTTAACGTTTTGCGCATGCATCACCTGTCTCCCATTTATGAGTTTATTGATAAATCTCTTTATAGACTTTCTTTTCAGAGAATGTTTAACTTAAGATATTAGCATTCTGAATTCCTGACGCAACGTATGACGTAAACGAAAAAAATTTAGTTCTAAAAAGTTTTAAAAGTTCCAAGAAGAAACAGAAAAAGAATATTTAAAAGACAGAGAGAAGAAAAGAAACTTTTCTCGACCTATTTTCAGTTAATATGGAATATTTAAAAAATTATTTTAGTAATAGAAAAGAATATTAAAAAGAATATACCTGCGCAATTAAAAAGTTCTACCTTTCTCTAGATTTTAAAGGTAATTTAGAATTTACTTTGACGCTTCCAATTAATAATTTAACATTTCAATTCAATTAATCATTTAATTAACAATTTAACTATTATATAGGTACTGTTCAAACAATTTAGAACCAATAAAGCGTCCGCACAAACTCCTTTAACGGGTAGCTATCGTAGAACTATCTGCACAAAATTAAGTGACCAATTTTCGTGCTGGTTCTCATCCCGTTACGCACACCATCCTTCTATTCTTTCGTCGTCTCCAACCATTTTCAGCAGCAAAACTCTTCCGTCGTGCCGAAAGTGAACAAAAGATAAGGCGAAACGACAGCTCCGTGATCACGGAAATGGTGCGATTTCGCAGTTAACGAACCTGCGAATAGGTCCACGAGATAGCGGGTAGAAGTGGAGGACTGGAAAACACTCCCTTGCGGGACAAGATGGGTCGCCGTGGTATTCTCGCAATAAAGCGTCCACCGTAATGATACTAGACGTACGTTATATATCTACGAGCGAGTGGATGGACGTCTTTCCAACGATAGCGACACCTCTAACAACGGACTGGGATTCGTAGCGTGAACATATCGGCTTTTTATGGACGTTCGTTCTGAAAATCCCTGGATTCAATGAATTTGCGATACGTGTTTCATCAACATACAGATGGCGACAAGTAAAGAATTCGCCGGTGTCATTTAACTTTGTGACCAAATAAACGCGAGCGAATACGAGCCATAATCGGTTTAACTTCTATTTTCGTATGTGATCTTATATAAAGATTTTATTAATTCACTTAATGCTGATACATACATATATATATAACCTATTATTTGTACTACTATAACAAATATTTGTAATTCTAATAAAAAGTGTCTAATTATCTATATTTTTAAAGTAATTATTGATGCATGATGTTTTTATTTTAAATATTTCTATACAAAATCACTACAAATATCGAATATATAAGAGTAATATCATTTTTAATGATAATTGTCCAAAGAATTTGATAGAAAAAGCTGAAAAAGAGATAATATGATAATGTACAGATTGAAGCTAATCAGCAGAATAATAACTAGCAGAATTCGGTATAGCAATCACAATCAATGCTGTAGCAGTTAGAACGGTGATTTCCTTGTCGTTTAACATCCCATCGAGGGAGAACCGCGACTTTTCACGTTTTTCCCGCGTTCTCTACCATATCGTGAGGGGTTTCGAGGGCGCGTTTGGTTTCCTTGGTGACCGAAGGGAGCGCAAAACTGAACCGCATGGTGTATACCGGCTTGCTCCGTCCCTTTCACGCCCAGGCCATCTGTTTGTATTTCATATTGATAGAGTATTGATACAGCCCTGCATTGCCGTGCCTCACCCCTCACGAGCTATGCCAAGCCCCTCTTAACCCTCGGCGAACACCCCCGGTAAACCACCGTGACGGGCCACCATCCCGCAGCGGAACGTAAACGAGGATACCGTGTGTTACCATTCCAGCCGGATCACGTGTTTACTTTGTTCCGCATTGTTGCGTCTCGTTAATGGCCGGCGGAAACGTTTTACTCGAGCACACGGCAGATCCATTTTAACATCTCTTGGCGACAGTTGCGAATATACGAATTATGATTCCTTTCGTAATCAAAGAAAGTAGTTCTCCTTGTACACGTTTGTGATAACCTCATACGACGTATACGTTGTATATTAAAGGAGCTAAAGCTTTTTGCTTCAAGTAGATTTTGAATGGAAGCAAGAAGTCTAGGTTTATAAACTTCCTTTAAGAGACCGTAAACCGTAAATTGTAAGTGACGATATGTCGACCGGAGAACTTACGCTTTTAAACCGTAAGAATTGGGTTGTACTCAACTCGCTTAAATTTAACGATTAAAGCCTAACTGCGCAAAAACAGTTTAAAGGCAGACATTAATGTTACTTAACCTCGGTCGGCTTACTGCTTATGGCCTCTTAAAGCAAGGTTGTGGACCGAGATTAACGTCAAAACGATATTAAATATAACTCGTACATGGAAAGAGCGATTTTGCTGAAAGATCTAAAATTTTGTTGATATAAATCTGAAAATAATTTTGGTGGAACCCAAATTGATAACTAGAATATAAAAATTTTTTGCAGCATTTTTTAATTTCCCACATAATTATTTTGTTAAGTGGAAATGGAGCGAGAAATGTTCAACACAAATGAGTGAAAAGTAAGTCATATTTGATCAAGGCGAGGTTTAGAGTTCATATATTTTTGTATGAATTTTTACAATTTCCGATTTAAGCAAATTGCGCGCTGTTAATACTATTCATTTCTAAAACACTGTACATAATTTATTGCGAAAAATAAATAAATGTAAATAATTATTTTGATATAGTTTAACAATTAAAATTATTTTCAAATCTGTATCCAGCAAAATTTTAAATCTTTCAGAAAAATCATTCTTTTTGCGTAGAACTGGATACTTGATTGCGCTAGAAGCGTCTTACAAATAGATACATATATGTATATACATACCGGATGTCCTACAAGGCTCTGCCATGAAAATTCTAGGTCCGCTATGTTCGCCGGCACAGGTACGACGAAATTCATCGCGTACGTGTTTACCACCCCCTCCCGAACGTAGTACAACTCGGCCTCGAGTCCTGAAAGCAGAATAGCAGAGTGTATCGATTGGACGATCAATTATGAAAAAGCTGTACGATGCCGCCGGCAAAGTTTACCTCCACCTTCCCTGCCCCGATGAATCGACCGATCGCGAACTATACGGCACGTGCAGCCCTTCGTTATAAGTTGGGGACATTGACCACGGTCGCGTCTTCTTTACACGAAGTATCGCAGTTGCACGGAATTCATTTCCATGGAAACTTCAGGAGACAGAATAATGTCGCCATAGGGAACTTCTCGTTTCAACGGCACGTGAATTGCGCAGAATTATTGTCGGAGCTTTGATAGAGTATTACATGAGCTTTCCTCTGAATATATCTTTACAATATTTACACTAGTATACTTATCTTTTTCTCGATCTTATCATAGTGTGCTGTCATAGTGTGCTGTACATTTATATATAACTTGTAGCGATAAAGATTAAATAAAAATGGGGAGAACGAAAAGTGAAATGTCTATCACGAGTGCACACGTCGACGTATGATATCGGCGTGACAAGAGGTCTAATACGACGATTATTATCGGCGTATTTCGCATACGACGAAATCGTATCTCGGGGAATATCTACCGCGAAATAACCACGGAGATTCCGCGAACGGATTTATAATACGAATCCGTCGATGCCAGGTACTCCATCCTACCCTGCTCCTCGGTGCACATCCTCCTTTCTCAGTGGATCATGATCTGAAAATTCCTCTTGGGCACTCGCACGTATAGTTGCGCCTCCGCCCTCCTCGCCCTCCCCCCCCCCCCAGATCGGATGCGTCATCCGTCTGCCTTCACGTATGACTACGCAATTCGATATCACGCTCGCGAACAAGCTCTGTCAGATATACCGTACGTACATAGGTACCTACCGTCATGTTCGACGTCGTGTTATGACGCAACGTGGTCGCGTTTGCACCGCGATAAGATCCTTTAAAAAAGCGAGATATTCAGATCCGGAGTGCTGTACACTCGATGAAAGAGAAGCACATAAAATGCAGTAAAAGAGAGGAAAATGGAAAGAACAGAGGCGAAAAGGAAATGTGGAGAGGATCGAATGTTTTACAAATCCGTACGATATCCGTTCTCGCTGTGAGCGAGAATACTTGTCGCGGTTTGACGAAAGTTAACACTGTTAAAAATTGAAAAGCCTTCACCTCCTCGCGAACTGTAATTCGTTATTAACACGTCTTTGATTAAACATTGCAATTTAGCTTTTAATGAAATTATATAAACTCTGTAACTATTTCTATTTAAATTTAAATTGTTACACGGTAACTTTTTGTTGAAAAATATTTTTATTGTTATTTCTAAACAGAACTGTTTTCAAACATCCTTACGTAACACATAACACATTGTATAGTTAGGAAAGTTTTAACTGCAATAACAGATTCACTCTAACTCTAAATGGTCTGACTCTGCAAAGAGTTCTACTACTTTTGTGCTTTCAGTTCTTCGATAGTTGAAAGAATTTATAACATTTAGTTTCTTGATGAATTTTTATTCACTTTTGAAAAACGTACTAAATATTATAGAATATAAAATCGCAATATATAAATATTATTTTAATATTTCGAAACTCTTATTAAAACAAAACTATTTGTCTGCAATCGTTAGACATTTATAATATAATTTTTTGTTATTTTTATTTGCATACAAATTCATATAAATATAAAAATAATAAGGATTCATAATTAAAGTAAAGATAGAAAAAGGATGCAAAATAAAAACATATATCAATAAAGCAAATTTAATGTAACGAAAACATTTAATAAACAAGTTCACATAAGTTCCCTGCAAAATAAAATCTTAATGAAATTAGAATCTGAAAAATCTTAATGGACTGTACAATCTATATTCTTCGCAAAGTGTTGAGCAAGACGCGAACGCCTGTGATACGGTTTAGCGACAGCTTAACGTTTCGTGAATATACGTATACATTGAAATGCTGGTAGTCGAAGTTTAAGGCGGCGGGCGTCGGGCGGACTCGAGGGTAAGCGTAGTAAGAAGATTAAGTAACTTTCTACTTCGTGCACCGGGTCTTACGAAGGAAAGACTAACACCCGGCAGAGAAACTGATAATGACAGTCGGCTGTGTATTAAGCGAAACATCCGCGAAATCGTATTAATCCCTCTGTACTTCATTTTATTATCAGACGTTAATCCCGGCTAAAGTGGAGAGTCGTGTCTGACTAAGTAAACGCGTTACCACTTGCACTTCAAGATGCCCCGAAACTCGTTCCCGAAAATGGTCTCTTCCTAATAGTATCGTGTTACGCGTATCCCGCATTTATACATTTTCTGTTTCAAAAGTATAATGTGTTTAATAGTATTTATCATATTCAAAATTCTTTAAGTTGTATGGAATAAGGTAAATTTCAGTGACTAGACATATACGCTATGTCCGGATATTTACACAAAACTTTATATTTGTTTATATTATTATTAATCTCAAATGCTTTTTTTAAATATAATATTATAATTGAATTGTAATTTTTGAATTTAATTAAATTATAATTTTCTAATAAAAAAAAACATTTGAAAGATAATAATAAATTTTGTGTAAGTATCCTGACATAGGTACATTGAGACATTTGCCTGAATAAAACTATCCTTTACTCGCGTAGTTACTCTCTAAAACTTTTAAAGTGATCTCACTCTGAAGAGTAAAATCTCACTCTTTAGAGTGAAATCCACAGAATTTAGAGAGTACCTAAAACACAATCTCCTAAAGCTGAAGATAAAAAAGTGACTAGCGATTTATATTGAATTTTTGTTTCAAACTAAGGGCAGCGTAAATTAAGAGATTTTATGGATAGGGATGTGCTCTATCATATAAATGCGATACTTCAGGATATAGACGCGCCTTGAGCCGGTGTGAAGTTGGTACCCCATTTTGAAAAAATCGATATTTTATACACAGTTCCATTTGCACCCACAATAATTCTACAGTTCCTGCTAAGTTTTAACAATAGTTCCGCTGATTTAGCTAAAAAAAAAAATTTATAAATAGGGTGTCAACTTCATGTAGCACCCCAAGTATCGCAAAAATTAATTTTTATCACGAAATTCTAAAGTTCTCGAAGAGTTCTACAGTTCTTGATAGATTTCAGCGACAGTTCCGGCCTCTAAGTATTTTTAAACAATTTTTTAAAGTGAGAGACAACACTCCACCGCAAGAGTAAAGTACCGCGTAACGGTCAGTTCTCGCCGACTTTTTGCTATTTTACTACAGTTCTACAATAGTTCTAATGCTTTTTGTAGGTTTTGCACACAGTTCTGGCCTCTACATATTTTTAAACAATTTTTTAATGTCAGAGCCAGCACCCCACTACAAGAGTACCCCACTCTTGCGGTGGGGTGCTGGCTCTCACTTCAAAAAAAATGTTTAAAAATACTTAGAGGCCGGAACTGTCGCTGAAACCTATCAGGAACTGTAGAATTCTTCGAGAACTTTAGAATTTCGTGATAAAAATTAATTTTTGCGATACTTGGGATGCCACGCGAAGTTGGCACCCCATTTATACAATTTTTTTTTAGCTAAATCAGCGGAACTATTGTTAAACTTAGCAGGAACTATAGAACTATTGTGGGTGCAAACGGAACTGTGTATAAAATATCGATTTTTTCAAAATGGGGTGCCAACTTCATACCGGCCGCGCCTTGATCTCTCACCGACATCGAAATTCTCTCTTTGATTCATCGTAAAAGTGATGCGAATGACTTGACTAATGGGAACCTTTTCATTACGAACGCCAGTGAACGATTAGCTTTCAGTTCCAGCCAATTAAATCGCTCGCTCGCGAAATGGACGCGTGCGGCCAGCCGGAAAATCGCCAACTTCCGATGGACGCGAATCTTTATTATCCAGCTTTTTCCCCTTTTTCTGTTTAACGCGTTGCGAAATAGTCGGGATGCAAAGTTGTCGGGGATATTTATACGTCGGTTTATCAGTCGCAGCTATCCAAAGCCGTACCCGCGGGAATGCCGCACACGTAAAACGGAACCAGCTTCGAGATATAGCCGAAGCAGCGAGAGCAAGCGAGGCACGATCGTGCCGAGAAAAGTGCGGGCGTAACAGTCTCTCTGTCTCACACGCGCATCGTGGAGGAGCCTGAGAGATTCAGTCGGTGTGTTGGAAAGCCGGGAGAAAATATTTCACAAGAAGATAAATCTTAGACGATCCCACGAGGTACGAGCACGCGCAACTAACTCAGGTGGATTAAGTTCCGCGATATCGTCTGGGGGTTTTGAGTGGGCAACAAATGGACATAATCAGGTTGTGCGCCGCTCGCTGTGGCACAGCCGTTGCATTACGTTGCTGGGATTACGTGGAGACTGCGTAGGCGACTCCGCGTATACCGCTATCGTAGATTTCATTTCACGGCATCCCGCATCTTCGTTTCGACGTAGGTACATTAAAGTTTGGGGCGGCGAAAAGTTAGCGGCGCGAGCAAACGTGTAATTGCACCGCGCTCTCTGCACATGGTTTCGCAGCGTCGTATACGTTTGTAGGGTCTGCAGCTTAAATTGCTGCTGCACCTATGGGGCAAACTCTACTACGCGTGCGAAAGGATGAGAACTAATAGGTATGTTAAATGTGTATTTTCTCTCTCCTGAGAGAAATAAAGTAGTTGGTTATTTAAAATATAACCTACGTGTACGGACTTATTTTGATTTTAAACGAGAAGTGGAGAGTGTAACATTCTCCGCAGCATTCTTCGAATTCCTTATATTGAGGATCTATCGCTAGTGAAACTCTTCGCGAAAAGAATTCCTTTCATTCTGTTAAAAATTGCTTGAAAAATAAGATGTTACTTATTGCTTTCGCACACTTAATTCCATCGGAGATATATTCATAGAGCTGTCACGTGTCGCATTTCCTGCACGGCAATCTTTCTTCAGTCTTTTACGTAACTTCGAGAAGTACCTGCGTATAAAAGTTTCCTATCTTTCAAGGCATGGAAATTCCGTGAGGCGGACTTGAACGATG